TTTTTTAGCATTGATAGTGTTGTCAGTTTCTGTGCCAAAAAAATAAGCCAACAATTGTCGATTTGATAAAAAAGAATTGTTGATTGATTTTATTTTGTTTTGTTGTTTCATTGACCTTTTGCGTTACGCTCACGTTTGGTCAAGCGGAAGTCGCGAATTTTCCGGTTTCTCTGTCCTATTTATTGGCATGCGTATGTATGGTCAAATGAATATTTACGGACATGTATGTATGTAGATATTACTAATTTTATGTTATATACATATATATAGTATAAATGTTAATAAGTAAGAATATTTTGAAATGATCATTTATCTGCAAAGCCGGATTTTGCTTAACTTTTCATTTCGACATCAAATCCACGACATGAAATAAACCCATGCAACAGAATTCGTCAGTTTACTAAGTTTATTGCAAGTTCCCCAATTTAGACTAGGATCTCTACTTTGTGGCAGGTAGGTACCGCAAGCGCCTCTGTGTAGTGAATTAGGTGCGCCAGACTGCGTGATTAAAGTTCGATGCGGATAAACTGCAGTCACAACGGATAATCAATCCACGACAGTCGGGTCTACGTTACTGGAACGACCCAGACTTATGTCTGGCCAAGGACTGTAACTCCAGCATCACTCTCAAAAACCTCATTGAATTAATAAAGATGAAGCTTTCGACCAAGAAGATGTGAGAACATCAGCTGAGAAGATCACGTTGGAGACATGCAGTAGCTGTTAAAGAGAATTTGGTCTGATGAATAATAATAATAGCTCTGATCCAATACTTTTCGTGGAAAATCCTGTAAAAATTCCAAACAGCAAAATTACTCTCTGAAGTGAGAGTAAAAAGTGAGTAACTACAAAAAGTCAATCAGCGATTGTTTGACACTTTTCATGATTTTACTAGAAGAAAAAGTGCGGGTAAAATCTTGCAACTTCATTCTCTACATAGCTTTTCGAAAATCGCTCTCATTTACAGGATTTCGGAGTACATATGGGATAATTTTTCCTGTAACTTCCTGCAAGTTCGTGTAAAAACCTGTAAGTTCATGCAGTACTGGATCAGAGCTAATAATTATTTTTAATTGTGGTGCACGTCTTGATGTTGTTACACAAATAGGTGGATCTAGAGTTTCACGGCGCCTCTTAACGGCAAATCAATTTGATGTGAAGCTTTTTTAAGGCAGAAATACACTCGGAAGTTTGCAATGCCTGCCGAGGGGAAATTGCTATTCAGAAAAAAACCCTTTGGAAAGTTGTTTTAAGCAGGGATCGAAACTTGGTCATACGGAGTGGTAGTACGCACGCACCTTTAAGCACTTTTCTACAGATAAATACATGCGAGAAATTAAAACCACTGTGTTATTTCACAAGATGGGAGATCGTGGTGTTTGCGAAAATTATAAAGTCCTATCTTGAAGAAACTCGTTCGGGCCGACAATGTGGCTACAGACCTGGTAAGTGCATCAGTGATCAGATTTTCACAGTGCGTCAAATTTAATTCCGCTAAAAGAGAGCTTTGATTGCGATTATATTTATTTGTGAACACACTTTTGCGTATTTCTATTCTTATTAGCGTGGGTAAAGGAAGGGTAATTAAGTACAGGGAAATCCATATGTATTATTCCAACTGCATTTCAAAACAATGCGTTGGGTGGGATTGAAAATGTTTCCTTAAAATTAACCAGGGTTTAGCAAATTGCAAAATACCGGAAACCATCCATAATAGAGATGGGCACGGGGCAAGAATTTCGAACCCGATCCCGCCCATTCCGAAATTAAATTTTTAAGTCCCGAACTTGCCCATTTCGACGTTTTTCAGAATTGTACCGCGGTTCCCGTGGGTCCCGAAATCCATCACTAAAAGTAATTCACATATTTTTCAAATAAGTTTTAAATAATAAAAAATCTGGCATCTTCCGGTTGATGGTGTTAAAAATAGAAATAGCAGTAGTTGTGCTTTATGCTTTACTGCTATAGGGTATTGAATATTAGTCCCTGTTTGCTTTTCCCGTTGGCTTTTCTTCACCTCGAAATCACAATAAGCTTTTACTTAAGGAAACATAAAGATCGACTCACCGAATAGCCTCAATCTCTTCATCTTTCTCAGCTAGGCGGCGTTCGGTATCGTGGCGGTATTGGTTGAACTCAGATGACAAGCGTTGAGCGCGTTGCTCCTCAGCCTTGCGACCCTGCATAAGAAAGGTAAAAAAAAAACATACGATTGCTTTATAATTTTGCTTGAACGCAATTGCATTTGTTATACGTACAGCCTCAGCTTCCTTGTAGGCAGCAGTCAATTCATCGCGCTCGTTCTCCAAGCGGCGCAACTCCAATTCCAATTCATGCAAACGGCGGCTGTACTCATTGATTGTAGCCTTGGCTTCATGGAGATCATCTGCAATTGAAACATAGACAGATTAAAACATCTCTCTCTCTCTCTCTCTCTCTCCACTTCCATGTACTCACCTCCTAATTTCTTGTTCTCACGTGCCAATTGGTTGTTAGCATCCTTGACTTTGTCCAATTCATGAATGGTGCGCTGCAAATCGGCATGCTTGTTCTTCAGGTCACGTTGGCTATTCTCGTACAAGACGATCGTTTCATCGAGACGGCTCTTCAATTCAATATTGTGCTTCTCCAGTGTGTTGACCGATTTGGTCAATTCGCGGCAAGTGTTATTAGATTTCTCCAAGTCGATAATGAGCACTTCAACTTCACTGGCCAA